GAGAGCAATGCCACGGATAGACCTTCTAAGGCAGAGAACAATGCCGTGGAGTAGACCCTCTACAAGGAGAACGAGGTGAAGGTGTCTGCTTTGGTCATCTCGTTAGTCTTGCAACTCCCAGGGGCCAGAGTTCCAGCTAGTGCTATAAGGCAAGACAAGTGGGCGGCAGCATGTGAAGCGCAGAGAAACAACATCTGCAGAGAACTTCATTCTCTGCATAGAAAATGCCAAAGTGTCTTTTTAAAATGACTGGAACTAATGAATTCAAGATCACAATATACCACATAAACACACACACACACACACACACACACTACATTTCTATATACTCACAATGAGCATGCAGAAATTAAAATTAAAAGGACAAAAATGAATTGCAACTTAAACCTTATCCAGTAATTATCTCAAAATGAGCCATGGGCATGGACATAAACAGAACTCTAAAATTGTTTAGGGAAAAAAACATGGGAAAATGTTTAAGTGTTCAGGGCTAGACAGACTTGGCATCCAAAGCATGGCAAGAGGAGAGAGAGAGAGAGAGAGAGAGAGAGAGAGAGAGAGAGAGAGAGGGAGGGTGGGAGGGCGGGAGGGAGGGAGGGAGAGAGAGAGAGAAGAGAGAGAGATTTTGGAAATTTGTGCTCTATGAACTGGCAATGGACTGGATGTCCCCCCTCCACCCCAAATTCCTATGCTGAAATGCTAAAATCCTGACCCTACTATGATGTTATTAGAGCATCATGACTCCAGACAAAATGATGTCATTGAGGTAGAGTTCTCCATGGGTTCAAGTCCTTAGAGAACCCAGAGAACTTGCTTCCCTGTTCCAATGAGGAGAAGCCACAGCAAGAAAATGCAATGCCTTGCTCTATACCTTTAGCCCACAAAGGTAGAAAACAAATGTCTTGTTTCTGTAGTCACACATCTGGTGACATTTTTGTTATTGCACCCCAAACCCAGGCACCATGGGAAGTTCTTGGAAAGCCATGCTGCAGTTGGAGAAAATAATCTGCAACTCGTGTGCCTGTGAAAAGAACTGATCTAAAGAACTTTTAAAAGCCAGGAGTGAAAGGGCAAACAAACCAATGGGAAAATGAGCAAAACCTGAAAGACATTTTACTAAAGAGGAACCAGATGGCAAATAGCAAGCGAGAAGGAATCGTTCAACATCTTTACACATCAGGGAAATTGGAAATAGAGCTGGAAATGTCAATCCACACAGACCTATCAGAACGGCTAAGCTCGAAGCCACACAAAATGTTTGCAGTGCCGCAGAGAAGCTGGGTCACCCATGCATTATGGGCATGAACGTAAAACGGTTCGCTGTTCCTTGCAAAACTAACTATGCAATAACTATACTTAGCAATTGTTGTCTTGGACAATTACTACAGAGAAATAAAGACTTCCGTTCACATGAACACCTGCACAAAGTGTACATGCTTTATTCGTATAGTCCCAAGTTGCAGATTACCCAGGGTAAACCAACTGTGGTACATCCATATAATGGAGTACTACTCACCAATAAAAAGGACTGGACTGTTAAGGCATACAGGAGCCTTGGTGGATCATAAGACAGTTGTGGGGAATGAGGAGAAAAGAGAAACAATTGCAAATGGTCACAGGCTCTGTGATTCTATTCATGCAACATTCTTGAAACAAGCATTGAGGAGCAAGCGAGTGGTTGACAGAAGGTATTTGGAGAGAGAAGCAGGCAGAGGGAGGGAAGTTTCTTTTTAAGAGGCAACCCGGGAGAGCCACAGTGTTGGGGTGTTCCATGCCTTGACTGGACTGTCAGTATCCTGGCTGGGATAGTGAGCCAAGCTGTGGTTTTGCAAGATGCTACCACTGGGTACACATGATAACTTGGCATTATTTCTGACAATTACATGGGAATCTACAATTCCACAAATACAAAAAAAGTCATTTAAAAACTTGACATTGTATTAAACACTCATCATTGCCGAGATACACTTTGTGACTGATTAAAAATTTCTCACCTTCTGACATGAACATCCCAATATTTTCTCAGCTATTTTACAGACTACTTAAGAATTACCAAAATTATGAAAGACATATTTTAGTACTAAGAACAGTTTGAGCAGCATAGTAAAAACACAAACAAATGGGTGTATTTTAAAGACTAATTTTGAGTGTGAATAAAATACAGCCACATACAAAACGAGCATTCTGCTCATGTGGCGCTGCCCCGGGCTTACTGTGTGCCCTGGATTCTGCATCTGGGTGACCAGGAAGAACTGACCCTTTTCCTTCCTTTTTTTCTTTCAGGATCTCCTCTTCAGCGTGTGTGCCCTCAACGTCCTCTCCACCATCGTGTGCGCATTGGCCACAGCCATGTGCTGCATGCAGATGGTCTCTGCTGATGTCCTGCAGATGGTGAGTGACCCCGCTCCTGCCCAGGCCCTCTCAGAGTGGCCAGCCCAGCCCTCCCTCCTCTAAACAGCTGGAGTCCAGTGTGTACGAGTTCTCTGCTTCTGATTAGAGAACCTTGGGTTCTGGCAGTCCAAACTGCACAGAGATCCTTAGAGTCACCTTGTGATGCACCACGAAGAGGGTGATTCAGCATCTTTGCTGCCATGACCTTCCTTCAGACATCAGCAGAGTTCCATGTTTATGATAGAGTCCCCCACCCTGAGCACCTGGAATATGTCCCTGAGTTAAAATCCTGCCGTGCTGGGCACCCTCTGGGACCTTCAGAACAAGGCCTGTCCCTACTCTTCAGTTTTCTCTGTAATAAAAGAAGTTTGGAGTTGTTAGAAGATGATTGCTCAGATTGAAAAACTGCTGTTCTTTGCTTTTGAAATTTGCTAATTAACCCTAAGGTCATGGTCCAGTGGCCCCCATCTGGTGTCATGGTCAGAGTCTTTGAAAAAAAAACTAACCGTCTGCTCCCATGGGAGTGGGAAGGCCAGAGCAGGGGTCGTGTTCTTGTTAATAAACATCTCTAAACACACACTTCATAAGTCATGATGGCTCTTTGTCGTCTCAGCATGAATGGACCACAACCTCAAGTTCAAGACATTATTTTGAAACTCATAATAAAAAGAAATTGGTATTGGTTTTTAGTGCTAAAAGGGTAAGAGTCACTCTTGTGCCCATTCTCTCTTCCTCTCTTCCATTTGCTCTCTCTCTCTCTCTCTCTCTCTCTCTCTCTCTCTCTCTCTCTCTC